CCAAAAAAAAAAACAGAAAAATGAACCCTGAACCACAGAGAGGTAGGGATTTGCTCGCTTTGCCCGCTCCCGCTGAACCGCTGATCAGCTCTTGGCGGACCGGCCTTGCTGGGTGGATCTGGGCTCTAAAGTCACTAAAGTCTAACCCTTAAACCATCAACCCTAAACCCTAAAGCCTTAAACCCTAAAGCCTTAAACCCTAAAGCCTAGAGCCTAAAACCCAAAACCCAAAACCCTAAAACCCTAAACCCTAAACCCGGTTGAGGGTACAGGGTACAGGGGTGCCAGATCAAGAAACTCCCTGAGCGCCGGAAGTTTTTGAAGCAAGCGTGGCGTTTTCTCAGCCATAAAACTCCTATACCCTAAATCCTACTTGTAGGGAAGCAGAAGCCTCCCCTACATCGACGCCCGTAGTTGATGTATGTATACGAGCTACAGTCAATCTTTCCCAGAGAATTAATGGACATGGGTTCCTCATTAGGGACTATATTGGGGTTTAGGGTTTAGGGTTCAATATTTCCTACAGAATTTCATGGACATGGGTTCCTTATTTGGAACTATATCAGGAAGTATACTAAACTACAAGACAGACCCCCTGGTCCACTGTTCCGGGTCCCTCGATAAGGCAAATATTGACAGTAGCTCATATGAGCAGTGTTTTTTTGATGGTTAAACCCAGTAAGATTATATTCCTTATATACAATACTATACCCCAAAAGGAGGATAGAATCTTACTCTATATTGGGTACCATAGCATCCCCAAATACACTACCACTCATATGCTCATCAACCCTATACAATCCTTTCCTGGAAGCGGAACCTTTCCATCACCCCCTGCCCCCCCCCCTCCCTCTCCCCACGCTAGCCTTCATCCGCCAACCGTACATTATCCAACAACTCTGAGCTGAACTGCTAAGCTCTCAAACCCTCGAAACTCTAAAGACCCTGAAGCACCCCAACTCCAAACCCCTAATCTCTATGAAGACCAAAACCCTAAACCCCGCAGAACCTGAAACACTACACGCTCGCAAACCCTACGCCCAGAACACATAAACCATACAAACTCTCAAGAACCTAAGCTACTCTTTAAAACCCTGAACTCTAAACACCACATATAATTCTTACAGACCTCATGCTAAGGGAACATGCGGCGGAAACAAAACTAGAGTAGCATCAATAAAAAAACTTGTTGATCATTTTACAGTAATAGCGTGGTAGCATCCTCATATCAGCACTACCTAGCCATGGTGTCCATTCCATTATGTAACTTTACCCCGTACCCCTCAACCCCTAAGTGCCATCCCCTGATTAAATGGCGCAATAAAACTCAAACCCTGAGGCTAAGCCCCAACGCTAAGCCTCTATACACTAAACTCCCAAATCCTTAGCTCCAAAACCTCTTAACCCTAAACCCCTAAACGCCAAAACCCTACACCCCTTAACCCCTTAACTCCCAAACCTAGGCCTATTAATCCTACACTCCTTAAATCCTGAACCCCTTACCCCCTAGACCTTAACCCTAAACCCTAAACCCTACACCCTAAACCCTAAATCCCCCAACCCCCCCAAAAGCCCCCAAAACCACGGCTCCTGTAGCCAGACCATGGCAGCAGGGCTCGCCGCCCCGGGCTCTAGGACCTGCAGTATCTGGGGGGTTTAGGGTTTAGGGTTTAAGGGTTTAGGGTTTAGGGTTTAGGGCTTAGGGCTTAGGGTTTAGGGTTTAGGGTTCAGGGTTTAGGGTATATATATATATATCTATATAAAGGGTTATAGAGAAGGATTGCTTTAGAGATCTACTCCCCCACTCCCCTCTGTTTAGGCTTAGGGTTCAGGGTTTAGTGTTCAAAGTTTAGGGTTTAAGGTTTCGGGTTCAGGGTTTAGGGCTCGGGTTTAGCGGGTTTAGGGTTTAGGATTCAGGGTTTCAGGCTTTTTAACGGAGATTCTATAATGTTTAAGTGGTGATTTACAGGATCTACACCGCGACTAATAAAGGGTTGGTATGGGTACCGGGCAAGGTTATAACGACTAGAAGGGCTTGTATGGGGAGAGTGTAAGGCTAGTATATAGGCCTTTTATGTAGATTGTATAGGGCTACGTAGGGTTTAGGGTACCCCAGTAATGGAGCATGGCACAGGAACGAATATGGAAAATGACACGGCCAGTTCTATCATCACATCAGGGGTACTGCTTCGCAGATGACTGAGGAATGCAAAAGCAAATGGAAATTGCCATATGATTTGCTATGAAGATCCATGCCTTCATTCCCAGTACTTGCTAACCAGGATTAAGTTCAGGGCTCAGGCTTAGGCTTGAAGACTACTTACAACAGGTTGCCATAAGGGCAGCCCTAAAGTGCCCTAGGGTCCTACGGACAAAAAAACATACAATAGAGATCCACACAACTCCATCCCCTAATAGTAAGCCACCCTATCCACATATTAAGAACCCCGGTAATGAAGCACCATTATGTGTAAGTTCCGGATGAAATGAACAAGCTGAGTCATGTGAGTCCGAAGAGCATGAACCAGGAACCAGGAACCAATCTGATGAGAATTGCCCCGTAGTATGCCTGTATATTCCCTTTGCAACCCAGTGTAGTCCCCAGGCAACTCCCCACAAGACCCTGCCCTGCCATCACCGCCACCTAACATCAGAACCCCCCCACCCCCTGATGTTAGACATTCACAAAATATTATAGTGTACCATAAAGGGAAACATTGAATATTAGTGGGTCGGGGTTTGAACATGTAGTAGGGGGAGCGGATTACAACCCTCCCTACGATCCCTGAACCCATAACGCTACTCCCTGATCCCTATAATCTCTGTGCCCTAATCCCTAAACCTCTCTTCCCTAAAACCCCTAAACCAACTCCCAAGCCTTTCACCCCTAAACCCTAATCCCTTCACCCTAAACTCCCTGCGAGCACGAGGTTGCCTGAACCACCTGGGGTGCTGGAGTTCGTTCGCGTAGCCAGAAGAAGGCGCTGGCAGTCGGGAAAGACCAGAGGTATCCCGCGCGCCTGAGTGTTTAGGGTCCGGGGTTAATAATTGAGGGTTTAGGGCGACTTGTCTAGGATGGTAGATTAATATTTTTTGGTCCAGGGTTAAGGGCTTCTGGGCTTTTAGGGGCTTCTGGCTTTAGGACTAGGATTTACGGTCTACTTGCAGTGGCATGTTACATAAAACCTACTGCCCTTGTAGCCCAATCACAAGTCCCCTACAAGGCCTCCTAAGTAGGGCGATAATTGGGCTATATCTACAGTTATAAATCGGTTGCAAGTAGCAGTCTTCCCAGTAGGGCACGGTTGATACTAAACATCCTGCATGACCGTCATTGAAAATTGAGGCCCGCAGAAATATCTCCGACAGATAGTAATCGTTCTAGGAAGGACTCAGAGACAGAAACCTTAATTTCTGGAAGCCCCGTATATAGCGCTCTGGTCGAGAGGGTAGCAGTCTTTACAGGGCCCGATTTCTGCCAATTTCGCTTTATTTGCTGAGTGCAATACGAGGAGCGGGAAGGTGAGAAAAGACAATCACATGTTTAGTTCCCATGGATTTCCACACTCATAGTGAGGCAAAAAAACCGGACAAGAATATTTTGGCGTGCAATAAAGGAGACCCCACATTATAGTATTGATTGAGCTACTACTATTTCTGTTCCTATAGTTACTGCGATTATTGTTGCTAATGCTATTGCTATTACTGCTACTGTTGCTGTTTATCACCACTGCTAACAGCACTATTACTATTGAATTGCTGTTGGTATTGCTGCTGCTAATGATGATACTAGAAGTACTGCTACTTTTGGTATACGAAATATTTCTACTACTACTCCTACTTTTATGATTACTACTTGAAAAGAACAATTACTATTACAATTGCTGCTACGGCTACTCCTGGAAAATGGCAGCAAATAAACTATGGGAGTTAATTCTCCAGTGAGTTCATCTCAAGCTATTTGGACACAGTTGCGGGGCACATTATTCTGGGTTGCTGTTGAGGGCCTTGAAGTAAGCTACCATAGTATGTGTAGAAAATGAATCATAGCGTTTCCTTGTTAAAGTAACTTAATTCAAATTCAAACCCAATAGACTGTGGTCTTGCAGCGATTACAGTGGAATCTTTCGGAACTCCTCAGGCTTCTACATTTTCTGAGACAAAGCTGAAGATCTTTGGCCGCTCCTACTACAGCAACAGTCCAGCAATCATGATATGTGGGTTGTTCGCAAAATTCTGGTCCCATTTTGGTACCCCTAAATATTAGGCACCGTAAAATACTATACAGCCAAAATGGGACCCCAATTATGTAGTAAGAGTACATCAATTGCACCTGACCCGCGCGATGTACGTACAAAATCCTTGTACAAAGCCTGCATGATCCATGAGCTTATGCTTCAGACAGTTCAATCACTGGCCTCACGGTGGTCAGGATTGTAACATTCAGCGTGACATCATCGTCGCTGGCCAGCCCGGCCTGTACATGACTTGGGATTGTGGGTGCCCCTGAGATACCCAGCATTGTAGGGGGCCACCACAACTAGAATAAAGCAGTAGGTCACATTACAAGAGACCAAAGGGCTTTGAAGGCGATGACCTTTCTAATCAGTCAGGCTCCCAGAAACCCTAAACCCTAAAATGGATTCTCGGGTTGCTGCAGGGCCCTAAACCCTGACCTCTTGACCCTCAGCCCTTGACCCCTAACCTGCCTAGCCCTGATCGAGTATTAACCGTGAAAAACCATGGTGTCTGGAATACCCCGCCCTGCTACATAGACATTCGGATTCCTCGAATTTTTTGTTTGCGCAGGCCCCTCATGTATGTACATGTGTGGGTATATAGGTATCCCACAAGAGACCATAATGTAACAAGCCTTAATATGGGCATTTCCAAAGACAGCGTTACCACGCATCATACCCCAAAAGGCCATACCCTTGAATGCGTGCACTCAAAAAAAGGCGACCCCACAATGCTTAGATACCACAATCCCTAAACCCTAAACCCTCCGCTCCTCTTTCATCAGGTTGTCCAAATACAGCTTGCGCGGTCCGTTATAGGGAAGCCAGCTGCAGTCTAGGATGGACTTGCTGGTCACATTGCCACCGCTGCCAGCTGTTGCACTAGCGTAGCCTTTGCGACACCCTATAGTCCCCGTTGGGGAAAAAGAATATGGCTTTGGGTATATTATAATGAGATCCCCATGTACCCCATATTCTATCTACTTAAGGGACACCCTGATGTAGACCCATAGGATTAATAAAACCCCCTCCTTTTAAGGGCCTTAATATCAGGATCCCTATTATAATCCCTATTAAGAGGAGGGGGTTTATTAATCACAGGTTCGGGTTAGGTTTTTCCCTACATCCTAAATCCTAAACCCTAGTAATTTCCATGTTTTTTGTCCATTATCCCTATATAACCCCAATATATACCCTAGGTTTTTGTCAAACCTTTCACTGAGGTATTACACACAAAAAAAAGGAGCTTTTATCAACTTCTGGTTTGCAGCTCTCCTTTCTTTATGGGTTTAAAGTTAGTTGAGGAATTCGGGTGTAGGGCTTAAAGTTAAGGGTTTAGTGTGTAGGGCGTAAAGTTTAGGGTTTAGGGTTTAGGGGTTTAGGGTGTAGGGTTTAAGATTCGCGGCTGCTCTTAATTTATCGTCTCCTGCCTGCTTGTGACGGGGTGCTCATATCTAGGACATAGGCATCACCATGATCCTGTCATGTGGAAGTGTACCAAACCGAGGGGACCCCAATATAGACCCCCCAAAAACGATAATCCTTACTATGGTGACCCCCAGGATTGTTAAGCGAGACTCACCGCAGTCACAATGGGCGGCAGAAACTATATCCCGAATTCCGCAATGCAACTGCAACCAAGGGGGTGGATCTCCGGAGGTACCCTAAGCACAACTTTTGAGTTCTGGAACGCAGGGTCGTACCCTTCACACGCCAGTAGGAGGGAGCTGTAGGTGGACCCCACCCCAGGCATAGTGACTAATTACAAGGGATAATACTAAGCAATATCTGAGGGTCCTCGTGCAGTCCTATTATATCGCTATTGCAGTGTGGGTGTCCTCCTAAGGCCTGTGCCGCCATTACTAAAAATTATGTATACACCATGGCTACATAGCACCGAAACCATAAAATCGTCTTGGAGGCGCGGGTCAGTTATGGCCTACTTATAGCTTCAACTTAACCTTAACCCAGTTCTATCATACAAGACTTCTACTTCGTTTCTGCGGACAGTTAGAAGTAGGTTTTACGTAGCCTGCCCCGCCAGGTAAGCTACTTCGACCCAGCGGCGGAAAGGAGTCGCCAGAACGCAGCTGTGACGCTCCGCGCTAGGCTGTCCAACCTCTGTACCAGGACCCTTCTTGTGCCCTTAATTGGGAGTATATGGTCCCTAATAGTAGGTACTTAGGCCCTAATAAAGGGTAGGAGGAGGGTCTGGGTACGTGCTGGTCGTTGGCAGCAGGGAATGGAAAACCAAATGGACAGGCACATGGGAAAACAAAATTCACATACGGGGGATTACGGGGAAATGGATATATGCCTTTTAGGCCAACTTGCTGGTACTTCGGAGGGAAGGAAGCAATCAAAAAGACAAGAATCGAACAGCGGTTATATATGGTGCATAATTTAACACTCCTAGTATCCCCCTAGCAATCCTACAATAATTCCCCGTATAATCCCCTATATAACCACCCCTTTAAGGAGTTGAGATTATAGCTCATATGGGCTACTATAGGAATCCATTCATCCATTCCCTACTAACAACCGGTAAAGATAGGCAAAGACATGGTTTAGGGCTTAGGGATGCGCGGTAAGCACAGCATGGAAGACTACTTGTGTTCTACAACAGTTATACTGGCCCGTACGGCATAGCAGGCTCGTAACATCAGTCTTGTCCATTGAACTGCAGGGAAACAGCTAAGTGGCTGAAACCTAAACTGACCAATTTCTCCCTCGAAAGTACTTCCTGGCATAAACCCAGCTTCCACTTATTTAACGATTTGATTTTGGATTATTCTTAGTATTTAGGCCCCCAAACCCTAAACTTTCGCCCCCCCAAAAGTCTTCCCTACGGTGCCAAAGGGTACTTTAGCTGAGGCTAGCGTTCGGCCTTGAACGCAGCCTCATGCATTCCGAACGTGGCTTCGAGCTTACAAAAGTCAGTAGCCTGTCTTTATGGTCTACTGCCCACTAATTCCCTACAACTCGGGTTCACGTGGCCCGTGTAATAATCCTGGTCATGCCCTAAGTACATTAAACCGCAGCTAGCATAGTACTATAGTATACTAAGGTCATGCGGGATTTTAGTGTCGACAATAGTTCCTATAATCCACAACCATGAGCCGAGGGCCGCGCACCCCTATACGGGTTTCGCAAACTAAAGGGTTTAAGATGTGGGCTGTGGTTTAGGCTTGGGCTCTTCCTGCTAGTTGTATGCAGAAAAAAGTAGGGATTACATGGGCATTATATTTAAGGATATTAAGGATGTTCGGCCCATTTGCAGGGGCTATGTAGGGATTGTATAGGTTTTACAGGGATTACGTGGGGTTTATATATGAATGCTCTTAGCAACATCATGCCTGTTTAAACAAGTTATAAAATGATTTGTAGAGGTATATAGAGGTTGTAGAAAATATAAGATAGGGATACTAGTGGTATTCGGCCCCTTTGAAGGGGTTATGTAGGGATTATGTAGAGTTATATGGTTATGACATGGGGATTGCATTACATAGGGATTTTACGTGTGTAGACTGCTGTGATATCCTAATCACAGACGCCTTCCAGCATGCTCGCACCCCCTTGAAGTTAGAATGTGTTAGCAATCAGCTGCCGCTGCGTCCCTAAACCCAAAAACCTAAACCCTAAACCCTTGCAGGAATATTTTCCGCTCGATTTGCTGCTGCTAAGGAGAAATGAAGTGGACCGCCACTGGTGATCACACCCCCATCTTATACAATGTAAACCCTAAACCCTAAACCGTTGTTTATGCTCTCTCCCCACACTCCCCGCTAACACAGTAGGCTGCCGCCAAAGCCTAAAATCTGAACCTTTAACCCTACACATCTCTTATGATTTCCCTCATTGGGCTTATAGGGGTTACTCTAATTATAAGTATTATAAGTAGGGTTATAACCCCAGTTATAAGTAGTTACTGAGTCCCACCGGCCTCCAAGTATAGGTTGGGTCCTGCCCCCGCCCATTAACAGTCTATAATAGGGGTCATATTAAGGGCTTTATATAAATACAAAGTAAATATCATCCAACTGTTAATGAGTGCGGGCAGTACCTTACCTACACATACAAACCCAGAAGGGGTCCCCAAAACGAAGTGTCCTCAGCCTATGTTAACCAAGTCTCAAATTCCTTTTGAAGTTTCGATCTAACTCTCCACTACTCGAATGAAAATTGGTATACTTAGAACAGGGAGTCCGGGAACATGATTGGTGTGTAGGGTGTAGGTAAAGATGGTTAGGGAATAATGTTGGCACTTATTCTGGCGATCCCTAAACCTTCAAGCATCTAAACCCTAAACCCCTCCTTCCACCATATAGCCTTGTCCTCAAGGGAAACCCCCAGTCAAGGGCGTCAAAAGGTGTAGTAGAGTATATACCAAGGATCCTTTAACCCACCTACCTTCATCCTACCTTTTGAGCCCCCTGACCCAGGTGGGTGACTCGTACAAGGGTAGTGGGGTTTAGGGTTTAGGGAGTAGTGGGGCTATATGAGGTCTATACCCGCCTCCTTGAAGGGTACCTACCTGATAACTACCCACCTGCTTGTTTTCCTTCAGAAGCCCTATACTACCGGGGCCTAAAAATGACGTCCTTTCGAGGTACCATAGACCATAATTATATAAGGAATATGGAACCATAATATTGGTAGTTATTCAGGCCCCTATATTGTCCTACCTCAAGTCCTTTCAAGACAAGATGCGGTGACGATGAGCGACGCAGAGGTTGACGGTAAGACTTTTAAGCCGGCGTCTTGCCTAGGATTCTGCGGATACTTTCGGCCTTAGGGTTTAGAGCCTAACTAACCTCCTGCTATTTTGGGATTGGGGCTCTAGGTTTCGCGTTTGGGTGTCATAGGGTTTAGGGCTGAAGGTCTTGCTGTGATGTCTCGCAAGATATATTTATACACCCACCAATACTCCTAACAGCCCTTTATACACTCACCAAAAACCCATCATGACTCCTACCTAATATTTCAATATCTTTAGACCACTATATCATCCCTCCTTCCATGTAATTTTCCATCTTCTCTTCCGTTTGAATTCGCCATTCCCTAAATCCTAGGCCCTAAACCGTAGTGTGGTGCAAGATTCCTGCAATCCACCGTAGTCGTATCTAAGTCATGCCGGAGCTGCACGGTCAGCACATGGCCGGTAGCCTTCCACAAAGCTTAAGCTTCAGGATTAGGGTATAGGCTCAATGTTGAAAAAGTTGCCAAGCTGATTCTAACTCCACTCCACCAAAAAGACACAAGGACCGAGCAAGAGGGGTAATACTAAAATGCTGCAATAGCTGATTGTCAACTACAGCACTTAGTCATCATTCCTGTGCTTTTGAAGTACCCATGCAAAGTCTCCTAAAATCGTGGGCTCCACAGCGTTTGGACGTCTATGGTTGTACCCATGGGTTTGAGGTCACTGTAACAGGGATTCTACGGGATCCGGAACGGATTTACCCGGTTATATGAGCCATAGTCTAAACTCCCAGTATCCCCCTTAATAACCTCTACAGTAGTCCCCAACATGATCCCCTATATAACCCCCTCTAAGGAGTTCAGACTACAGCTCATATATCCCCTGATGTTCTTCATGTTGACAGTCTACTAGCGGCCTGCACTTGCAGGGGCTGCTACTGGAATAGGGCTTAGGGTCCCTCTTAACCCTAAACCCTAATCCCTCTTAATCCTTAACCCTAAATCCCAAACCCCAGACCCCAAACCCTAAACCACAAACCCCAAACCCTAAATCCCAAACCCTAAATCCTAAACCCTAAACCCTGAGGTGCGACTGGAATAGGGTTAGGGTTTAGGCTTCAGAGTTTAATAGGACGTAGTCACGACGTGTCCGCCACATGGGACAGGCCCTCCTACGAAGCACTTCTTTGA